GGAATCTCTACACACAAACTAAACGCGAGAAAGGACAACAATACGAAATTCGTTTGGTAGAAAAATCCAAGACCATTCCCAAACTACTGTTCTCGTATCTGAAAAGGAATGCAAAAGCTGGGTGTGGGATACCTGCCCTGTATTCTAGCGATATCGTGCCCGATGCTGAGGCTGATGTTGCATTCTTGATGCTTCTTCACCACAGTTGGGCTAAACCAACTTACACTTAAACTAGGTCTTTTTAAGCTGGACACATTTCATTCCACTTTATTTTTGGTTTGTTCTGCCTACCTGCATAATGTTCTATTAACTGGCCACGTTGCTTACGCTAATTGCGCTTATCTCCGGCAATTTTGTTGCTTTTGTAGCATTTTTAAGTAACTTGTGGACATTTCTTACTTATCGCGGACTCGTTGCTAACCAACTTACTTCATATGGTAATTTAGGGAAGAGTTATGCCACCGTATCTGTATGCATTATTGGATTTATTTTATTTCAGCTTGTCGTTTAAAGTGAATGGCTGTTGCTTGATATCCCCGGTGTGGCTGCGCTTGATGTGCATGTTGACAAGGTGCCTACCTGTCTATTACCCACTACCTCGTTCATACTGGCTCCAGGAGACAGTTGGTCGTTGCTGGAGGGGACGGGGTGCACGGTCCTTGTGGCCGTGCTAGGCTCAAAGAGCGGTTCCATGCACTCAGTGTGGAGCGGACTACGGTCCAGCCACCGCCTTGTGTGCGCTTGATTCCCCAAGTACAGCGTGCTTGTGTTTGCCTGTGAAGGAGTGTGGGTCGGCTCCGTTGATGAAACGTGGCTCCCATCCACATGCCTCCCGGTCTTATTCCTTCGGGTTTACACTGGATATGGGGTGTGTGGTTGGAGCTGTGGGTGGTGCAGCGCAAGCCACCCATGGTCCCTCTGTAGGCGCAGGCGTCCTGTGGCTGGCCACAGTGACAGGCAAATCTGAAACCGCATGCCGCCAACCATTCTAGCGATAATGTTACCTTACTGTATGAGGATGATGCCAAACCTGATCTCCTGGCTTTCAATATTCTCCTTCTTTTCTATCGATACTTCATTATCCTGTGACTTTTTATCACCCTGCCCCTCTACACTAGAGTGTATCGAGCTCAATGACGACTTGGTTATGCGACTACTTCCGGAATTAAATCCGAACTCTTTACCGGGTACGGATGATATGCACCCTGTGTTCCTCTAGACGCTGACTCAGCACATTACCTCTCCTGTTTGCCAAGTCCTTCAGCGCTCCCTAGATGCCGGACGCCCTTCCTAGGGCGTCAAGATTCTGCAAACTACCGGCCGATCTGTCCGACGTCGATAATTTGTAAAGTCTTAAGCGAGCCCTAAATCTTCACTAGAAGAACCTGTATATTCTCTCATGCGCTAAACATTTGCTTGTTGCCAGAGAAAAATGGGCGAGATCGCTGGATGCCAGTAATCGTCTGCATGTCGTTTTCGTCGACTTCAGCACGGTGTAGTGACCTGGATATTCCCCCGTCTGACTGTGTAAACTATTTTAGAATATCTTAAAATTATGACTTTCATATATTTTAGGGAATTAGGCGGTTTTCCTGTTGGAACCTTGTTCCCGTTTGTTTGAAACACGAACACGATATCCGCCTTTAGTATGCGCGACTCGGCTGCGAACGACGCTCCGTCCACGCACTCGACGCCCAACTACATCCTCCCTTGCTGCAAAACATCACATCGTTACGAACGGTCCGCCTGTTTTCACCAAAGCCTGGCGAATGACCCCTGACAAACTAAAAAGTGCTCGCTCAGAATTCGAGCTCATGCTTGAACTAGACATCGTGGGCGTCGCCGCTTCACATGGTGTCCAAAAAGTCAGGAGACTGGCGTCCATATGGTGTTTACCGCGCGCACAATCACGTTATTGTTCCTGAAGGCTATCCTATTCCTCACATTTGGAACTTCACGTTTAACCTGCGCGGCACCCGTATGTTCTCGAAAATCGATCTGATTCGCGCTTATCACCATATTCCAGTCGCTGAGAAAGATATACCGAAGACTACTGTAATCACTCCGTTTGGGCTCTTCGAATTTTTGCGTATGCCCTTCGGTCTTCGCAACGCAGCCCAGACTTTTCATCGATTCGGTCACTAGAGGTCTAGATTTCGTCTATCCCTCTATCGACGATATCCTAGTTGCAAACACTTCTAAAGAACAACACACAGAACATCACAAGATGCTTTTCGATAAACTGGCCGCTAATAACATCACTATCAACCCTGACAAATGCGTGTTTCAGCAGCCTTGTCGAATTTCTTGGCCACCATATTGATCAATATGGCATACGATCTCCAGACGATAGAGTCCGCGCCATCAGAGACTTTCCGCTCCTGACTACGCTAGCCACTATTCGCCGTTTTTATGACTTGCTCAACTATTATCGACGTTTTCTTCCACACTACCAATTTACTAAGTCCACCAACCGACCTACATCGTTTACGCAAAATCGGTCGGGTGCAACTGACTGCTGCTGCTGCCAATGCGTTCAAGGTCAGCAAAGAAGCCTTAGCCAAAACCGTTATGCTTCATCCGAACGCCCCGCTCAGTGTTGCTGTTGAAGCATCAGACACCACCATTGACGTCGTCCTACAGCAACATACAAATGGATGCTGGAAACCTCTTGCTTTCTACTCTAGACGCCTACAACCTGCCGAAGTCAAGTACAGCACGTTCAGTCGCGAACTGCTGGTCGTTTACTCTACCGTTCGACATTTCCGACAGATCTTCGAAGGTAACACCTTCAGTATCTTCACCGATCACATGCCGCTCATCTACGCATTCCGAAATCAATCAGCTCGACACTCACCACGTGAGATCCGTCAGCTGGATTTCATTGCCTAATTCTCGACTGATATCCGACACATTTCTGGTCAAGAAAACGTCGTCGCTGATGCCTTTCCAAGAGTATCTGCGATCTGCCCTGCCGGGCAGGCGCCCGGCAGGCCGCCGGCTATGGCCACAGTGCAATCAAACGACCAAACTTTTTCGGAACTCCGTGATTCTTCTTTGAAGATATCCCCACACCCTTTGTCGTCATCTGATGGTACAATTTTATGCGACACATCTACCGGACGACCTCGACCCGTCGTTCTAGAAACTTTTCGCCGGATCGTTTTCGACAGCCTTCACAATATCGCCCACCCAGGTATTAAAACTACTGCTCAGCTTGTCTCCGAGATATACGTTTGGCCGGGGATGCAACCTGATCTTACGCGCTGGGCACCTAGTTGTCTCATCTGCCAGCAAGCAAAGGTTCAGCTGCACGTGTCCGCTCCGCTTGGTCGCTTTCCATCCATTTCAGCGCGATTTGCCCACATCCATCTCGACATAGTGGGACTTTTGACCCCGTCCAAAGGAATGGTCTATATTTTGACCATGATCGATCTTTGCACAAGTTGGCCCAAAGCCGTTCCCATGCCTGACGTAGCTGCGGAAACCGTAACGCGCGCTTTCGTCGAGCGCTCTATCGCTTCACACGGCTGTCTAGCCTCAGTGACGACAGACCGCGGTCCGCATTTCGAATGTTCGACCTTTAACAATCCTCTTAAACTCATTGGATGGCGACGCATTCGCACTACCGCCTATCATCCGCAGGCGAACGGCATAGTGGATCGTTTCTACCGATAGCTGAAAGTCTCACTTAGCGCCGCCAGTGGGCTGTGTTGGACTGCGGTGCTGCCTATGATCCTCATTGGGATCCGATCAGCCCTAAAGGCTGATCTAAGTACGTCTAGCGCCGAGTTAGTATGTGGACAACCACCGCGTTTATCTGGCGATTTCTTTCCTGGTAGTCCCCGAATTCCCCGTTACGACGCGAATTATGCTCGTCAACTAGCCACTAGCATGTCAGTACAAGCCTCCCGACGTTAGAGAACAACGATGTATATCTTTTGTTCCACAAAACTTGCAGCATTATCCCTTCGTTTTTCTCCTCCTCGATGGTCTCCGCAGAACACTGGAGCGACCTTACATAGGTCCTTTCAAAGTTCTGCAGTGCAAGGACCGCGTCTTTATCATCGACCGTCACGGTAAACGAGAAGCCGTTCCGATTGACCGTCTCAAGGTTGCCCACATAGAACCTGAGCTCCATGAAGACCCTTGCTCGTCTTCTGATTAATCAGCCCAGCCTATGATGGAAGACTCGCCCGCTTTCAACATCCCTGACCTCAAGCGTCACCCTCCATCCAAGCGTTCCACTTCAGCTTCGCCGCTTCCCATCGAACCAACCGCCACGTCTTCAGCAGTTCCTCCAACTTTGCGATCCGATAGGACGTCTAAGACGACGCCTTCTTCTGATCCCCACAAGTCGACTAGGTCGGGTCGACGCGTTCATTGGACAGCACGATTAAGAGATTATTATTCCCTCCACTTTTATTTTCTCGCTCTCCTTTTCCCTTTTGGCCAGCAACGTACGAAAACCAAAAAAAATCGGCACAAGCTTTTGTAAACGCCAAAAGCTCCAAAAGAACGCAAAACATTTTGCAGACCCAAAAAAGAAAACGTTTTGAAAACACAAGTGTTGCGCTTTGACGCTTACCTCATCTGGTAAGCGTCACTCTTACTTCTGCCTTAGCCACCACTGTCACTGCTCTTGTTTCCGTATGAATAACTGATCTCCCTAAACTTGGTTTTCTGACCGTGCTTTTGAGACGGTGCCAGTCGATACGACTTTGTCTATCACACTTTTACGCTTGGATCATGGGATTCAGTTACAGCTACCGGATTTACTCATCCAATTTTCGTAGTTCTTTTCCTCTTCGTTCTCTATGAACTGTCCCATACTTAAGTATTTTACCCCTGATTATGTTAGTTTGACGTCTGTTTACAGCTTACTTGATTTCCTATGAATCTTATGCTTTTCTACTTCATCAGCTGATGGTGCTGCTTTAATAATGCTTCTAACTCACTGCGGTTACGATTAAACGTTTGGCAACGCATTCCTATTCCAGCTATCCTATGAATTGGTTTCGAATCATTTCTTTCGGCAAGTCTGCATGTGTTGTCCTTTCTGGATGTAGGCGATCGTTTCACTTATCGATGGGGTCAGCCGCGCAAGCAAAAAAGCCATCGGTTACGATTTCTGATTATCTTTTGGATCGAACGATTCCCGCAGAAGAAGTGCTCCGAAAACTTACTGATGCTGATCATGATCGCCTAAAAGTTATACAAGCCGAACATCAATTGATGGCAGATCAGGGTCGTCGAGTTCCATCTCACCTTGATGCAGATGATCTTTTGGAATTACTCTGCTGTGCTACATTTGCTTCACGAATGCGTTACTACGAGTTTGCTTTCAAAAGAGAGATGACTAGGTTGAACGAAAAGGCCAAAAAGGCTAACAGGGTAAGCTTCAGCTTTCATGGTTTTATCAAGCATTACTACCGCTTATCCAAAGCCCCTTTTTACCATCTTCGAATCCTTTCTGTTTCATTGCACTTGTGATTTGAGGCTCTCAAGAATTGACTGGCAATCGCGCAACTCGCCTCGAGAAGTTAAAGTGGTATATTGTTACAACACCTATAGCGACTTAAAGCTTGACAGTAAGCCCCCCTGAGTTCCCAACGCTAAGTAAAGCGCATCAGGACTACCTTACCTCTCTGTTTCGTCATCAACACCAATTTTTCTCTTTCATCCACTTTTTATTGAATTTCGGTCTAACTCAGGCTCATCTGCTATGCGAGCTCTGATTAATTGGTAGATGCCCAATACTGCATATTTTGACACGTTATCTACATCTTCAAGTGACAAAGTATTGTTTCAGAACTAGGTCGACTCACGAACCGTTCTCTCCATGCTTGAACAATCGTTCCAACTTATCGGTTCATTTAATTGGGTAGCCGTTTCTCAAGCATTGACATTACGCAAGATTTTTGCCATGTATTGCCAAGGCTCATGTACCTTTATAAAGCCCCATCATTCAAGGAGACGGTGGGATGTAAGATTTGTGGTTGAGGGAAGTGTTTGCTACGCTAATGTGCTACCAGTTTTACTGTATGCATCATGGACCTGATGACTGTGCTCTAAAGATATTCAGAGATCGACTTTGTATGCCCACCAATTGCTGCAAAATATTGCTCAAATCTATCGGGACTATCGAATGAGCAGTACTGTAGTTCGTTGTTTAGCGTTTGGCAACGGACACGAATTCTAACTGTTTATGTTGGCTGGGCCACACAGCATGTCAGTGAATCGGTTGCCTCGTTTTATATTGTTTGGCAACGCTGCTCATAGTTGGGTTGTTCCCGTAGGTAACCAGTTCAGTTCAATTCGATTAAATAATTGTCATCGTGACACCGAGGTGGGGTGGGTTGGATTTCCGCAACTCCAGTCGCCAAGATGACCATATCTGATAATAGGGCAGGACACAAGGGAATACGAAGGGATAGTTAAGAAAAAGATGGGTAAATTTAGTAAGGATGGAATAACCAACAGGTGAGTACAAGAGACTGAGCGCCGCAGTGCCTCTGATAACGCGACTCTACCATATCGGACAAAGTTTTCGACCACTAATGTGGCGCCTCTCGAAGTTCGCATCCACAAAGACGGCTCGCGTGTACGGATGATCTGGCCTAACCAACGTAAGCGGACACAGTGCGACAGCAAAGCTTTTTTTATCCTCCATTGACAAGCAAACTTCAAAATAGCTCAACCAGTGCTCCCACCTGGTTTGAGTAGCACTCCACAAACATTGGTAATAATGATGGCTACTCGCCTAATGATTTCAATATGAGTCAGGTAACTTGACGATCCATGATGCAACATTATACACACTAACCTTGGCTAATAGGCTGAGATTCTATTGCTTCCATAAATGGTTGAGACTGAAAGACCATCCAGGCTTCTCTGATTTATCAAGTAATCTCAATGATATAAGCAAAAGAATTGGCGCGACTACTGAGCTGTTCGGTAGAGTTCCGGTCCAGTCCGACAACACGTACAGAGCACGTACCGGGACGTTCAGTACTATGCGTCAGTCTAGTTAGCATTGCTTGCTTAATCGCTGTCCGAGACAAGGACAGTTCTGTCCTCCGCATACTCAAGGTTTGTTAGTCAGTATCCTTGCAAACGAAGCATGGAGTTTAGTTTCATTTCAGTCACAAAGTTGCAAAGGAGATGTAGGGCGATTCCAGTGGACTTGGTCTATCTTGGTGAATTAGGAAACAACTTCCCGTCGACTTCCACCCGGTCTCTGGAGTCGCAGTTGAGAGGTTTCGGATTAAAAATGGATTTTCTTGATACTTCCACGAATACGCACTGCCACAAGTTGGATCGACCTACCGAGTTGAGGGCTGCTTTCTGGATAAGAAAAACTACAGTTCTCAGTCGTCTGTGTCTACTTTAACACTTGACGAAGAGCAAATATGTGGCCGATGCAACCACAACAAGGACGGAATCCTCACTTTCAATGATTCAGACCAGTAAGTGGTCGATGCCTGATATCCGTGTTAAGTTTGGAGGGTTGATGTCCGGATGATTTTTCACATCAATTGACCATTTTATAAGATGGGCACGATAGTTGGCAGTCGCTAATCTAAAGGCACCTCCTCATTTTCACGTTGTGTCATCCGTACGCCGTAGCGACGCTTCGCTGCCGCGCGACCACCACCAGTCACACGTAGGCTGATTATACCACGAGGACGTCCGCCCCTACGCGGATTCGAACCGGTGACCTTACGGTTGCAAGTCAGGCGTGCGGACCACTCGGTCACCGGCTGACTGTCACAAATTGTGTTGAATAGAGCAGCTAACCTAGTCAACAAAGATTCACCTCCTTCTTGCAGTTTGGATGGAGGAAGGTCATCGGGTCCATGAGCCTTGTTTTTTCCAACAAGACGGGCCCGTGTCGAATTTCCTCCAAACTAAGAGGTGTGATACCAACTTTTCATGTGGCTTCAAGGGACTCGGTATGCAGCATTGTCACCTCACACCTGTTGAACTGCTTTTCAAAATGTTCCACCCAACAGATAGTCAACGCGGCTGAGAACGGATCAACTATCCATCATTCTCGGCTATTGTCCTATTAACTGGGGGTTCTCCTTGACCTATGTTCCAAATGAACCGAAACAGCACTCGACTGTTCACAATAGCATCGACTTTTTCCATCTCACGAGTGCTTGCTACCCACCAACGTTCCCGGTTAATTCGTAGACTCCTTATCAGTTGTCATTTCAAGGCACGCCGAAACTAAGTACTCATTGGAACATTTTTCCGTTCTTGGATCAGAGAGCCACTACTCGGAAGTCTCTGATTGGACGTACAACAGTCATCAAATGCCCTTTTAACAGCACACTTAAAACAATTCTAGTCAGCAATCGACTCAAAAACTTAATTCATCACTAACAAGTGGCTTAACGGCTCGTTATGATGTTGTTGAATTGTAAGCTACGGTTTCAAATTGCAACTGACAAACTTGGAAATCAGACACTTTTTTAAAACGGGCCGGCCCATAGCCCTATGGACCACAAGCTTGCCTTGTAATCCCAGGACGCGGGTTCGAGCCTACGTAAGGACCAGGCAACACTCGCAGGATCCTTAACCAACATGCGACTGGTAGTAGTGGCGCAGCAGCGAAGTGTCGACATTGCGTACCGGCACACTACTGATGTCTTTTGAAACGGAAATAATGGTTAACATGCGTCCTTTCACACGGTTCATGGTCGGATTCCAGGCACATGCTCCGAATTTCCCGACAATTTTGGCCTGGCGTGCACCGTCTAAAGCTGATAACAGTTTTTTTTTCAAAATGGGCTTAGATCATTGAAAAATTCGGTGGACGGCAGGTGACATCATGTGAACCTTTGTACTGGAAAGCAGCGCCGCCAAGATAAACATTGCTCGAATCGATCATTATTGTCTTTTTGGTAAATCTGGTGGCCAACTTAGGCATTGCGTCTCTACGTAATCTCTGGAACTCATCGATGCTCGCTGGCGCATTCCGGCTGGAAGCGAACACGAGATTCGCAAACGCCTCAGGGCAAATTTTTCTGCCAGCCTTAAGAAAGACAGCAAATCCTTGTGGTCTTATCATGCATCGGAGATGGAAACAGCCGCTGCCGTTGGTAATCATTTTAAGTTCTTCCGTCTGATATAAAAACCGGTAGCAGGAGACCTGGTGTTAGTGAGACTATCTGCGACGATAATGGACAATCTATCCACATCTTGTCAAAACGCTTTTAGCTTTTGGCTTAGCACTTTGAAGGGCAATTTAATCAACGGGAATTGTCAGATTCCTCACAGACCATTAATTGCCATGTTCCTTGGGCTGTCCTCTTGGATCCGACTTCTCGTTCAGAAGTCGAACGTGAGATCGGCCTGCTGCAAATGAACAAGGCCGCGGATCAGAGTATCTTCCTCCAGCCTTTTTCAACTTCGGGTCTTGTTCTTATAGATGATTTACACGAGTTATTAGTGAAACTTTGGGAGCAGTAAACTGTTCCAACTGACTGGAGCCACTCCGTTATTGTCCTTAAAGGCTAGTCACGTTCGATCATCCCTGCCTTCGCAGATTTGCTCATGTCTGGTGGGAGCACCACGTGAGCAATGAACGTGTTCGGCGTCGCGTATTTGGTGCAGGAAGTGAGTGAACCGCTCAGCACCATCATATCACGCACCAGGCTCCGATAGCTGGGTCACGTGTAGCGCATGTCAGCACACCGACTCCCGCAATGTGCGTTGTTTGCGCGGTTGGAAAAGGAGGAGGAGGGTTAAGCGATGATTTGGTCGAGAGAAACGAAAACCTCACTTCGAAGCTGGCGTCGGCCGATGCATCCCGACTGTCCGGCTGGGGTTATAAGGACGACCAACACGTTTGGTTGAACACAATTGCTGGTACGACGAAGAGCCGGCCCCAATGGAGTTTGTGTTCTGCGTTTCTTTGTCCGCCCCTTTTCTTTATATTCCCCTCCAATCCCGATCTCACACGAAACACATAACATAAAGTTTGACATATTACTAGCTTTGGAATTTTTTATGGTGTAATTTTTAGTATCTTATCTTTTGTATTGTGGCACATTATCCGAAGTGTGTTTCTCACCCTCAGCTAACGTGTATTGATGATATTAGTCCCTATCTTCGATGGAAGCTCACATTCTCAATGCGGCAACCATAGACGAATCGGTTTTATCTCCATCGCCTCAAAATTACTTGCCTTTGTAATCCCTCACAAACTGACTGGCACTCGTGAAAGCCAGATTTGTGAGGTGCAAATCGCGTTTCGTTGAGATCAGGGTGGCATCCGTCACATATTCACATAGCATCAGTTGTTGGAGCGCCGTCACATAAATTGGCAGCCCACCTCCCTCTTGTTCCTCGACATCAATGGTGCCATCGATCCGGTGGGTCGC